AAAGAGTGTCTCGGAACATATGTATTTAATTATAAAGTTTTTAAACATAATATAATTCAGTAGAAAAGGTTTAAGCATAGCAATTTTTGCTATAGTTAAAGATTAGCTATTTGACTAGCTATATGTCTTGAGTTAGATTTTTCTATATATAAAAAAATATATATGCAGGCCTTCTCAATGCATATTTGTACATAAAAAATTATTATTTTAAATAAAAATTTTATTTTTATATATAATCAAATAAATCAAGAACACGTGTGTCAAAAAATAAATAAATTTTTTAACAATAAATAAAAATAAAAATAAAAACTAAAACTATACATCAAGATATTTTACATTTCAACATCATTTTTCAAAGCCAAAAGGGTAAGACAAAAGTAAAATTTTCTTAATTAAAATGACAACCACAGCTTTGGTCTGGATCTACGTCCCTCTAATGGCTCTCCAAAGTTCATTCATAGTATTGTACGGAATTCTAAATTCAATTCCCAGAGAAATTACCAGCTAATAGGGTGCAGGATTAGGACAGCCTCGAAACACTAACTAGGCTCTTTCACTTTCTTGAACTGTCTGGTAGCAGGATTCCACAAACGGTAGTCTAACCAGCTGCAATAACTAAATCATCCGGCAAGTCATCAGCATCATACACTGCTAACCTCTTGGCTTTTTGTTTGCTGCAATATATAGATTTGATAACAGAAGCTGTGTTCCTTAGTTTTTCAAGCTCATCCTTAACACCCCATTTCAGTCCTATCTCTTTCGAGGTTCTATAGTTTTCCCAAGATTCTAATAGGAATACTGAACAAAACAGCTTCTATCATTTCATTTGCTGGTTGATTAAGTTTTGGGAGATGGAAATCCAAACTATAATTGTTTTTATTTTTTTTAGCGGCAGGGAAATTTTTGCTATCTAAGCCTTGACAATAGATTAGAAAGAAATAGCTAAGAAGACAAGAAAGTGGCAAAGATTGTGCTGAAAGGAACTGGAGATGTGCAGAGGATGAAGAAGCATACAAATCTTGCATATGAGGGGGGGGGGGGGGGGGGGGGGGGGGGGGTGATGACGGTTGACTTCAATTGATGACATAATATGGCACCTATTGTTAGTCTATAATGGGACGAACTGAAACAAACTATGAATGTAATATGCCTATGTGAACATTCATCACTCTTATCATGCTAACGTTCTCATGATCTACCATAAAGATGATAATGCATGGCACTGGTTTGTGTTTGCAGTTGTGGAACTATGTGTAAAATATTGGTGTGCAGTGTGCCGTTGTTGCATTGCTGTGGTAATCTGAAACTTGTTTATTTGAACCTTGGACATCTGAAATGGCATCATGAGCATTAACAACAGATCTTACTTAATTGCACAACAACATACCTTAGTAACTGTCCATTTTAGCATTTTTCAATATAATCATTCAGGTTAACAAAGCTTTGGATTTGTATTTGCAGTCTGACAGATAGTAGTCCAGTACCTCATGTTCAGTTTTGAAAGGATTAGCCAAGAGCTAAATTACTTCAAGCTACCTGGGTGTGATTTCCAACCTAAATGCAAGCTTATCATAGCTCTACGACTATGAACTTAAAAGCAATATGTCCCTTCAGAAAAAGAAAAATGTGCCAAAATTTTAGCATAAACAGCTTGATAGTGAAAATCGCATTCTACGACTTTGATCCCAGCTGAATATGAAAATCCTAATCAATTTGACACAGCTTACAGCACAAATAAGAAAAGCGCAGTGCAGACATTATGCATTGAAAGTTGCTGTTACAAAGGGACTGAATCACAGATTTTATGATTTGATAAAAAAAAAAAGAAATATGGAAGCAAAAAGATGCAGAATTTTTTCTACAACGACATGAATCTATAAATAAAAATTATTTCATAAACTTCTCTGGAAGAACTCCCAAATTCTCTCTTCCATGTAAATTCGGTCATTATGCCGACGGGGCATGTGCCTTTCATCAGGGAAAATTAATAGTTCATAGGGTTTTCCAGCTGCCACAAGTGCATTGACAAGCCTTGCAGTGTGTCTAAAATGCACATTTTCATCAATCATGCCATGCACCAGCAACAACCTCCCTTTTAACTTGTGCACATGATGCATCACAGAGCTGTATTCGTAGCCCTTTGGATTATCGGAAGGCAATCCCATGTACTTCTCAGTGTAAAATGTGTCATATCCATCCCAGGAGGTTACAGGTGCACCAGAGACAGCACAACAGAATACATCAGGGAACCTTGCCAAGATCATGGCTGACATATATCCACCATAACTCCATCCACACAACCCAATGTGGCCAGCTTTTGCCAATCCTTGTTTAATGAGCCATTCTGCTCCTGTAAGCTGATCTTCTGCATCAAAGCGGCCAGGATTTCCTTTCAGAGCACCTTCAAACTTTAGCCCACGTCGAGCACTTCCTCTATTATCCAACTGTCAAGGGAGAAACAAAGGGCTCAGGGTAACGAGCTTTCACTTTAGAAAAAGGTGAGATGTAACATGTGAGGCTAAAGCTGGTTTCTATTTTCATTATAATCCATCAAGCAACTAATCTATAAGCTAGTTATAAAATTTCATTACTATGAGATCTCTCCAAATTAACGTGCATATACACTAGTAAAAGGACAATTCCTGGTCTTTTTGAAGCTCGACTTCCAGAGACATCTGATTTCTGTGCATGATCATTGAAACAACCACCAATTTCAGATTTGACAACATTCCATCTCCAAAATTTTGGGGACTGAATGGATTCAACATCTAAGTATGCACATATGTTAAACAAATGAATCACAAAAATGTGAGCTTCCATTCAGCAGAATGAGCAGCATTGTAACAAATAGGGAAAAAACTTGATCAGGGATCCGAACAGGCAATCATCTGTGGGCATAAATGGCAGATTTCAACCATTTATGTAATTTTAGGGAAGAAGGTAACAAATGCACTCATTAGTATGACTAGACTAGGAATTAAAAACAGTAAAATAACAATCAAATTACGTATACAGTGAAGATGTCTAAGTTGAAAATACTAACCTTCCACACTAAGATGCCTTGGCTCCGAAGATATTGAGCTCTCATGTCAACTGTACCTATCCATGAATCACATACATACTGTACACCAGGGCCTCCATACACACTGATCATGGTTTTGTATGGTGGTGGTCCAAATCTTGTAGGGTCAGGGTCATATAAAGCCCCATACAATATGGTCCCATCATTTGCTTGTATCTGAACTATCTTTGGTGGCTCAAGTTCCAGCCTTTTCAATGTTGGAATGGTGAAAGACTGCTCAAACAGAGGCATAATTTCTCTTCCATCAAACAGGGAGCAGAGAGAAACTCTTGGGGGAGAATCAAGGGAATCATGGATATCAACAAAATTCTGCAAGTGGTGATCAAGGACAACCAAGTGTTTCCCTTTACCGTTTGTTAATCTCACCGGAGCCTGCAAGGAATTGTTTTCAATTGGATACAGTTTAGCACAGTAAAGATGTGATTCCAAAGGCCCATCTAGAGTTGCAGTAAAATATATGATCCCTGCAGCCTCATTTACACCGGCAATTTGCTCAACTATCCATTCACCTTCAGTAATTGGTCCTAAGCATGTCCCATTGGCATCATGCAGATACAAATGCCTAAATCCTGACTTTTCACTCGCCCAAATGAATCCTCCAGAATATTTAGTGATTCCTTTGTCCAAAGGAGTGAAGCAGTCATGTAAATTAATCCATGGGAGTTGTTCTTCTGCATATAACACCTCTTTTTTCCCCGTCTTAATATCAAACTTAAGAAGTTTTAATTTTGAATGAGACCTGTTCAAAACTTGAGCTATGAGAACATTTCCATGCATCCAATTGACTCGGGCCAAGTATTCATCCTCATTATCTGGTTCTTTTGTTCCTCCACATAGAAGATTCATCCAAATTATAGAATCACCATGAACAGAAACTACCCCAAGGTGAACTTTGACATTTGAAGCTCCAGCAAAGGGATAAGGATGATCTTCCTGTGCTTCTGAACCTACAGAGCTTTTGCCTTGGTGCATAATTCTAAAAGGAGGTATCTCAGATGAATCAACTTGTGTAAATGCAATGAATTTGCTGTCAAGTGACCACCAGTAACCATTCTTCCGGTCCATCTCCTCCTGCAATCAACAAATTAAAAAACCTCCGGTAAAAAGTTTAATTTTACTAAAAAATAAAAAACCACAGAACCTAATACCATTATGAAATCAACCTAGCAACTGAAAAAAAGTAAATTAATTTTTGCTGAAAAGTAAAAGTATTTGCAAACCACCAGTTTCTAAGTTAACTTATATGTGGAGATGGAAAAACAGGAGTAAGGATGAAGTTCTCACCTGAGCTATATATTCAGCAAGGCCATGAGTCTGTAAAGCAAGGAAAAAAAAAAAGCACTGTCATAGTCAAATCAGAAAGCTGTTGCAGAACAAATAAAAATGAAATGAAAAAAAATTCAATTACCAAAACCAAATATTATTGTTTTGTTTTGACATTTTTCAATGTTTCTAGCTTATAGTGGTGGCCTTATTTTGATAGGAAAATAAAGAATTATATTCAGAATATTTAATTATTTTTGCTTTTTAACATACTTTTTAACATATTTTGAGTTTGAGCATGATGTAAAGCCGTCAAAATAATTCTATTATAGAGAGCTAG